TCAGCTCTGAGTTAACACTAAAGCACAATACCGTTACACTATTGCCACTATGTTTCGTAAGATACTAAGCATTTTACCCTACTGATAGGATCATAAAGTGTAGAGTTTCGGTAAGAGTGAATTCGGAGAGGATAAAGCGCTTGACAGAGTGTAGAGATACATAACAGGGTCTTGCGGAAGAGGCTTCAGGTGGCCCTTGTAACCCGATTACTAAAAGCAGGTATCCGAGTCATCAAAGACATGAACATAATTTATCCAAACCCTTTTCTTGCTTAAATTCTCCTCCTGATTGTTTCGTCTAAGCATTAAGTATCATCGTTAACATAAGAACTGGGGCCATCCAGTCTACCGCTCACCATCAAACTCGAACTGGAGACGAGCACTCTCGTATTGGGTTCGCCTGGAGCCCTAGGAACAAGTTGAGGCTTCAGCTGAATCGGTCTCGGTAAAGCAAGCGGTCGACTTGAGCCGGTATGGAATCTCGCCTCGTCCTCTACCCTCTCCTCCTCCTCGTTCTCTTCTTTTTCCTCATCCTCATCCTCCGCCTCTGCCTCCTCTCTTTCCTCCTCTAATTCATAGCTCCTATCCTCTTCTGCCCCGGTTTCAGTCTCACTTTCGACCTTGCCGGGCGTCTGACGCGTCGACTTAGACCCACGCACAGATCCCTCAGGCTGTCCAGCAGTGGAATGCAGAAGAGGATTGCGCGTAGAGAGGCGTTGTTGTGTAAGCCGGAGATCAGCATACTTGGACCAGGCGTTCGAGAAAGTGGCCTATGCGTCAAAAGGCAAAATGAAAAAAATTGACTGTAATATACTAGTTCTACTTTAGCTATAGTAATGACTTCGAAGAATGCAAGGAAAGTCATCTTATATGCAGAGATAATTAGCGGAAACAAGAAAAATCACCACCGCAAATGAGTCTAAGCAATCAGGATAAACGGTCGCCATGACAACGTCATGTGAGGGTCATTTTCATTTCCGGTTATAGCGTGTAATGATGTCTGTCAAATGGGAGAAAGATTATTGTGCCCTTCAAACATCCAGTAGTTCAAAACTAAAATTTTGTAAACTATGATGAGGCCAATTTTACCTAGTGAAGCTTCTGTACTAATAAAACCTCTGAAGTTGGATGAAATTGTCATACAGAAGGAGTGCACACTCAAAGAGGAAGGAAGTAATTAAAATGTTTCCAAGGTATCCACCTTAATTCAAGTCACTTCGTATTAACGAATCCTCAAAAGTCACTTGATGCTGGGTTTGTTTGGCTTCCAAAATGTCCTTTTAACCTCTATGCCAGATATATGACTCAAGGCTATCTTAAAATGAGAAAACGTACTGGCACTGGTGCGTGTAGTGTTGGTGGAGGATTAATTGTCGGCAAAAGAGCCAGTTTCAGGTAAGGACCATAAAATCTCCCTTCCCGGATGACCATGGATAACAGATAGAGTGCTGGAGGAGGGAGCATGTCAAAAGCATGACTCGTGAGTTAGAGCAAAGATTGGGATGACGGTATGATGACCTCAAACGCCCTCAAGCGATCTGGGCAAACTCGACATCTTATCCAAGCCTTACTGATAATTGCGATACCTGATTCGATAACTAGTACTATAGACGATTGCAATTTAAAATATCACTTTGACTTGTCGGCACGAATCCCATTAGAAACAATGTGATTTTGACGAGAAATGGTTTGCCTCGTGACCTACCCGAACTTGTGGCTGCTTAGTGAAGTGGCAATGTGTTACCGTTTGACGCTGACGTAACTCGGGCAAGGTCTAAAATGTAGTCCAGGCTAGAGGATACGCACTATTAGGAGGCAAAGATGTGCGAATTTCAATGGGACCGAGAGGTATACTTATTTCATCATTGGAGATTCAGCGATCATTTCTTGCATATTTTTACAATTGCTATACAGCCTCGACATCTTAGTTTACTAAAGTGTGCGTAATGACTCCGATCTAGAGGCCATAAAGGTCACTTTGCCTAAAAGCAAAATAATCTTTCTCTGAGTTAGCGTCTCTCCTTTGTATTTTTTGTTTATAAGTAGGCTCTCGAGAATACCAGTACATCATATATACGAGGTGTATTTATCTTACTTCGTTTAGGGGGCCAAGGAAACTGGTAGTTGAATTTTTTCCACAATAATGTGAGTAATGATGACATTTTCATTGAATTTCATCTAACCTTGCTCTCCAAAAATTTATTCTCATCCATAATGGACTTTAGTTGGTGGACTGGGCGAGGTCGAAATTGCAGACAACCTTGGATGAGAACATCTTTTGGGAAAGCAAAGCTATGCGAAATTATATGGAAACGTCGTCTACTCATATTATTGTGGGGAAACTCAACTCACGCTAAACGAAATAGGATGAATACACTTTTGTATGACATCTAAGTATGGCTCGACCGTTAGACAATTATTTTTTTGTATGAAACCCTATTTATTGCCATTAAAAAAGGGCAGCGATACTCCGCTATTAAGTATATATCACAATTGTATCATTATTATTATTGTTATTATTAGTATTATTAATATCATCAATAGAAGGCATGGAAAATTATTATCTGTTGTAATATAGTCAAATATTCTTATAATACTAGCATTATTAGAGTTTATCAGATAAATCTTAGTCATACGCAGTAAAAACGGAATCCAGACCCTGTAAAGTATGAGTCTTGCTCACTTTTAGTTCATTTATTGGAATCGCGAAACGACCCTCTCTTACGGCAGTGGTTGGTGCGACTTCGCAAGCAGTGATAAGTCTTTCCGACTGGGTCCTCAGGTTCTCGAGTTCACCCACCAGAGAGGTCCACTCTTCCGCCTGTCGCGACCAAAAGCTGAGGTTAGATAAAGTGACACGGCAAGTTGCGATGAAAGGGTAGGGTACAACATTGGACAAATGGAGAAGGGTACTCTCAAATGCGTATGATGATACATGCAAAAAGAAGGCACACACTTCACTGTTCTCTGCCACCTTGGCCTCGAGCAAACTTTGTCCGGCACTTTAGTCGACAACTGTCAACCAGCAGAGGTACAAGTGGCTGTTTTTAGCGCGATTAAAGGCTCTTTAAAATGGGGCCTGAGGAGCCACTTGAAAATCAAGCCCCGTCAGGGTTGTTAGGATCGTGAGGGTCAATTGTATTTGAATCTTTGGGCTATATATCGTGGCTATACCCTAATAAAAAGAATGAAGATGAAAGAGAGAGGCTAGACAAGGAAAATTATGCAATTCTGGCAAAGTTAAATGCCCTTATCTATCCCCCGCTTGTTGCAGGTGATTTAGGAGAGCACAGGTGCAACTGTTGGGGTTAAGAAGCTTTACAAAGCTTGATGATAAGGGTTTTCATAGTCAAAAGGAGTGATCTGGTAATAAAGCCAATTTGCAATGTGGTTAAATAAAATATACTAAATTTGATGGACGAGGCTGAGAAATAAGAAATATATAATCATAAAATAGTTAATAAAATATAGTTATCAATAGGAATAAGGGTTTGAATGAGTCTATGGTTGGCCTCATAATTTGCAATAGTTGCTACAATGCGAAAGAAAGCAAAAAGTTATGCTTGCACAACTATTTTATGATCAACGTATGCCCCTTGATTGTGGAACAGTGTTTCGCCATTTGTTGCTGCTATTAGCAGTAATCGAAAAAGATGCTTGCACTTTAGGTGCCATCAGAAGTTAGTTGAATGGTTTTTCAGATTAGTTGGACTGTAAATTATACATGATAAAGAAAAATAGGTGAAAAAAGCCGAAGAGTTATATTCACCATTAGGCTTTCTAGGAGTGTACAAACACTAAACTTATGATGCCAAAACCCATTCTAACATTTTCTAAAACTTGAATGCTGATGCGATCTAGACCAACATGCACATTAACTTTAAAGCTATTTTGTCAATTGGGAACATAAAAGTTTGTATTTGGAAGTAGAGCCATACGGAAAAATCCACCAAAGACATCATACCACTTGTAAAAATATAAGTACCGATTTTCCACAGGAGCAAATATTAAGGATAGATTAGATTACAAGGATTGTGATGAGTCTTTTTAGGCCAGAGGAAAAGCAAAATCCTCCCTCGAGTGAGAGAACATCTAAAGGTACAATTTTAGTTAAATCAATTGACGACTCAGGCTTTCCCTACAAATTATCTTGAGCAGTCAGCCTACTGTACCAAGAGAATGCGAGTTATTCGTAGGCCAATCTGACCCATTTATGAGGGGAATTCGGGGATTCATATTAAGCATTGGAGGAAATACATTTATAATACAGTGATAGTAGATGCATCCTACCATGGCATTAGCCCTAGCTGGCGAATTTACTAATACTGATATTGTGAAGTTCAATCTGAGAGGAACTACTTGACCCTTGTCCATTTTAAATTGTATACAATCAACCAAATCAGTCTTTAGGAAGCATTCTTCCACCGAAAAAAAGACACTAAACGATAGGACTCATGCGCATAGCTTCCGTCACCATATCTCTTCATTGAAGTGATCGAGTTTGAGGTGAACAAAGACCATCAGCTATTTGTGTGAGGAAGGAAATTGGGTTTAGACTGTTTAAACTGTTGGGTTGAAACAGGTTTATTACCTCAATCGTTTAGTTTAGCCAGTGATTTAATAGATAAGTGGATTCGTTGTAGAAGATGGAAAATACACTCATGACACTGAATAATGCGTAAAACTGGTTACAACTAATGAAGATCAACCCTTTGAATTGGGAACATTAACACAAATAATGAAATATTTTGTAGCATAATGCTATTTTTTTCGTTTAACATTTAGACAATTTTTCTATTCGACACAGTTTAAACGATTATTCATTTTAACAGTTTAAACAGTTTCCTATTCAAAATTGTATTGCATAGCCGGACCGGGCGAAGGTGAAATCCGTAAACATATAAATTCGTCAAGGCAGAAAACTTTTAAGAAAGCGATATTTTATTTTACCTATCAAATTAAAACCGAATTTGTAGGTAATCTCACGTAGGAAAAACATTTAAAAAGTAGCAGGCGAATCAATCTTCTTCTGTTAATCGAATTTCGATTGAGAAGCCAATCGGGCAACCAAAGAGGATAAGATTTGGATGCAATTAATTATAGGTTCTTCATTGATTTTCGTGCTTATTTAGCAGGACAAGAACCTCCACAGCTTTTTTCTAGCCACGCCGTATCCATGGTTAGTCGTTTAAAGTTAAAATTCCATAAGCCAAATCGCAGAGCTGGAAAGGCTTTTTGAAACTTGTCAGCCCTCAGTTAAAATATTTTGTTGATATTAACACGACTTCATCATTGGTATTGCTCAGAATTATTATAATTTGACACCAATGCATTTCATTAGTATCGGGCCACATGGATATGCAAAAATGAGATAGTATTAGATTAGTATAAATATCAACAGTAAGTTAATATAGCTATTATTATATTAAAACTAATTT